CGTCCTCCTCCCTCCAGAAGAAGCACCATGCCTGCGCCTACCACAAGTGCAGGGAAGCTGTGGCCATAGGTGTTGCCAGGGTTGGGAAGATCGCATCAGGATGGAACCTCGCGGATATGGGACCAAGCCTCTTGGAACCCACAAGATGTACCGGCTCTGCCAGCAGGTACTTTACGGGCGATTTGATGATTGAAGAGCCACCTTACCCACTGTATGTTTGTCTCTGTGTTTGTGCACCAACCAAGGGGAGTGACAGGAGTGGATTGGAGCCACATGATGTGAAAACATTACTGCTGGCTTCCCACTATGTCTGTCTTTGGTGTGTTTACACAGTAGTAGCTGGTTTTCAGCTTGTCTTCCCTGAACAATTGTGCTGCCTTGAAGTGTTCACTCTGGGATATTGTATGTTGGCTGTGCTCTAAGTACTTTAGGGATACTCATAAGTATCTTTAGGGCATGACTCATAAGTATTCTTTGGGCAAGACTCCTAGATATGGAAGATACTATGAGGTCTTGGGGCAAGCATGATTACTATATGTTTGATGACATTATTGAAGTCCTGACTATGAATTTACCTATATATTAATGTTAGGTGGTCAGGTGAAGTCTTGGATGAAGGTTTATATGCAAAGAGTGGCTGGAAGTCCTGTTTTCGACCTGTAGGAAGTCCCATTTCGCGGCCATTCGAAATGTGCCACTGTATTTGACTTTAGGAGCCTGTGTGCTCACAATTCTTAGTTTAGCATAACAAATAAGTGTACCTGTTGACCAGGACAAAGGATTGTACCTATTGCACCTGATAGCACCTGCTATTTGCACCCAAACTACCTTGAAACCTGTCTTGAGCTGACCTCAAGACTTTGCCAAGTTCGACTCATGACTGAGTCTCTCATGAATAGTTATTGAGACAGGGTTCTCAATGACCGCTCTAGTCATACTAGGTTGATGATGAAACATCGCTCTAGATATTTAGCCAGCGTGGAGTACTTCCACGCTACTAGATCCATGCTAGACGAATCTTCCACGCGTTCCGTTTTAGGATCGTGGAGATACGTAGGATTACTACCGCAACCTACGCTATCACACTTTATAGTCTCCCGCGGAGACCAGATCTACGATCCTTTGATGGTGATCTCTCTCGTTGATTAGTTTTCATAGCTTTCTAATCTCTCTCATAACTTTCATTCTCTCAAACACAAAACACTCGAAAGATCTTTACACTAGCTTTTAGCGTAGTGCAGTAGTGCACTACGGTAACTGGCTACAATGGCTGGATTGACAATATTCGGTTGTGCATGTATTCGTCATAAGGATCCAATGCGAGGTAACCGAGTGCAGCAGGATCCAATGCGAAGTAACCGAGTGCAGCGAGCAAAGTCGAACCTGAGTGTGTTCGGTACTGTTGCCACTGTCACCGATCGATGAACTTTACGATAGCTGGCTACGATGGCTGGATTGACAATGTTCGGTTGTGCATGTATTCGTCATAAGGATCCAATGCAAGGTACCGGTAACGGAGTGTAGCCAGTAAAGCGGAACCTGAGTATGTTCCGTACTGTTGCCACTACCGATTGATGTAACTCTACGGTAACTGGCTACAATGGCTGGATTGACAATATTCGGTTGTGCATGTATTCGTCATAAGGATCCAATGCGAGGTACTGGTAACCGTAGCGAGCAAAGCCGAACTTTCGGTACTGTTGCCATTGTCGTCGATGTAGCTATACCGCAGCCGGCTACAATGGCTGGATTCATAATGTTCGGTTGTGCATGTATTCGTCATAAGGATCCAATGCGAGGTAACCGAGTGCAGCGAGCAAAGCCGAACCTGAGTGTGTTCGGTACTGTTGCCACTGTCGCTGATGTAACTATGGTAGCCGGCTGCAATGGCTGGATTGACTGGAAACCGTATTCGTCATAAGGATCCAAACTGAGGCAAAGGGATACTGTACAGGAGACGAGCGCTGAAAAAAACCGAATCTTGAGACGAACGCTGAAGAAAACCGAATTCTGGGAGTCATGCAAGGGATTCCGAGCGTTAAGGATCACTACCGTGCTTGGTTGAAAGAAACACATACATGGGAATGGCTGGCGTCCACTCACGCTTCTCTACCGTACGTAGATTGAAAAACGATTGCGCTGGTACCTGGTACTGCATGTAGAACGGTACCGGTTCGTGATACCGTTAGGTGTGGTTGTGTGGTTACTGGTAGGATAAGTACCAGTGAAACATTTATTTCACGCAGCAAAAACAAGAAGCCTTATACCAGTACTATCTAGCAGGAGTACCGATACTCGTACGTACTAGTACCCTTTGACTTCTCAGTGCTTCTCAATCTCCGCCCGCGTACCCGCAAGTGTGTTTCCTGTTTAAAGGGTGGGCACCTTGTTATGCAGACGAGAATTAATTGAAAGCTAGCTGGCTACTCAGTAGCTAGTACTAGTACTAGCTAGTACGACTGTCACGTTACAGCAGAAGAGCACCAGAAATAATAGAAAGCTAGCTGGATCCGTGGCACTGGTTCATGCACGAAATTTAAGAATGGAGAACGGTACCTGGTACCTGGTACTACTGAATTGCGGACAAAAACAGTTAACAAGGAGAAAACTTGAAAACAGTTCGCGGAGACCCTTTGTATTAAGATACTAGTATGTGGCCAAGGGAGAGCAGTCACTGAGAATCTTAGCTCTAGAGTGCACAGATCTGAGTGTCTCCAGTATCATTTTAAAATCTTAGCATTCCAGCAAATCTCAGTACACGTGTACTCGACATCTATCTTATCACAGACTATCTTCTTAATATCAAGGGATAAGTATCTATTAAGAGACCCAGTGGGAATGGCTGGCGTCCATTCACGCTTCGCTTCCGACCCCTGGATTGAAATTTAACGAACACTGAACGGGGATTGCTCGGCAACAATTACATGTACTCAGTAGGTACTCAGTAGGACATTTCACTCCGCAAGCGTTCCTGTCTGTATTCAGTTGCATTGCAAGATTTTAAGAAGCTTAAGAACTGGCCACTACGAGTAGACAAAACTACTCGCCCGATCTAGATCTGTGGCAACTATTGCCCAGATCATTGATTGTTATGAGGGATGTATTCCATATCTCTTTCATCTTGCTTCCTCGTCCCTTCTCGCCGTTAACTTTGGCGCGGTTCCTTGGCCTGACGACTTCATCGATGACATGTGCTCTGAGCTCGAGCAAGCAACCTATTATCATACTACTCGCAGAGCTCTCGTCGAAGTCTGTGGCCACCATCTCCCGGCTTTCAGTTCCCTCCAACTCGATTTCCTCCAACGGCATTGCAGCTTATCCAAGAAGAGTTGGAATGAAAGAGATGCAGCAGTCACCGCGAAAATATGCTTTGATTTGTGTGTTATTGACACTGATGCTGTTGGATGTTTGGTTGAGGGTCCACAGTTTCTTGAACTCACCCGATGCAGATCTCCAGGGTGAAACTACCCCAATTGATATTGCCAACACCGAGGGAACGCAGTCTGCGAACAACAGCAGCAACAACACTCTGGTGCCCTCAGCAAAGTTGGAGACTGGATTGCCAAAGTTCCCTCCTGACAGCATTCCACCATTTCCAGCTGATGTCTTGGCTAGGTTTCGCGAAAAGGGCCAGTTTCCATCGGACATGAATCAAGTCAAACATATCTTTGCTGTAATGGAGAGCAACAAAGTCACACACTTGGAGCCTACATGGGAATCATTCCGAAAGCATGTTACACATGATGCTCTCAATAATCGTATCAAAGGTGAGGCCACTTTGCGAGGTACCCATCCACATCATTTCATGCATCTACCTGCCTGGGAGAAAGACTGGGGAGGCGTTGCTGTCTTCTCCAATGTCTTTATTATGGGAGAGCCTCCAGTGGTATTTGATGGCAACATTGCATTTGAACCTCGCTCTGTATGTATCGGTGATAAAACGAATCAGGAAGCACGCATCATTGACAATGCCGCTGCCATGGCTGCAAATGGGAGCACAATTCTGCAATCAGAACAGCAATATGATGTTTTGATTTCTCAATGCTATGGCCAAGCTTACTGGCATTCCATTGTAGAGAACCTTCCCCGTTTGGTCTATGTCCGAGATTTCATTGCAGAGAACAAGAATTTGACTGCCATCTGGCCACGTCAAGACTTCCTTGCACAGGACCATCGACCCCAAGCATTTTGGAATCCAAGCTTCTTCCAGGATACGAACAACCCAAAATGGCATGAACATTCAAGATTTGAAGTTGTCTTTGCCCGGCGCCTGGTAGTTCCTGCTGGATCGTATGCTCAGAACAGCCAAGTTGCTGAAGTACGAAACCTCCTTGTAAACCTTGTTGATAGCCATCCGCAAATGAAACAACTACGTCAGCAGGCTCAACCCTCCAAAAAAGTCATCCTCTTCCATCATCGCAAACCCGGCGGAACAAGATCTTTGCTCAACTCTCACGAACTTCGAGAAGCATTAAAATATTCCTTTTCACATTGCTGCGTGGTAAAAGACTTTGCCCACAATGGCACCGCTGATGAGGCTGCGGTTCTACACAACCAGGCTGATATTGTGGTTGGTCCACATGGTGCGGGGATGGCTAATCTTGTCTTTTCCGACCCTAAGAAATTGATTGGAGTTGTAGAAATCCATCCCAACATTTATGACGATAGATTCAAAGTGATGAATTGCAACAGACGTATGTGCTTGGGCAGACCAGAAGCAGCATTGGTTTGCTTGATGTTGAACTAACAATCCTTCCTAACCTCCTAATGCAGAACTTGCCGAGAAACTTGGAATCCCGTTCAAGATGCTCATTACCAAGGACGGCTGGAGGGAGTCCCCTTTAACCGCAAACGTTCCAGAGGTCATTGCTGCTGTTCACGAAATGCTTCAGGTTTGAGCGTTGGCCCTGGAAGCCGCAGAAGCACTCCAATTTATACTTTATCTTTCCACGTGACTATTATAACTAAACGCATGCTTTGAGTTAATGGCCCCCTATTCATCTGAATGTACTCTTCAGTTACTGCAGCGGCTAGCTTGCCTACTAGTATAGTAGCCCCTATTCATCTGAATGTACTCTTCAGCTACTGCAGCGGCTAGCTTGCCTACTAGTATAGTAGCTAGTTGTGTCTTCGATTTCCTGGCTCCTGACCCTTTCCCACCGTAAGGAACTGGCACGACTGTACCCACACCAACTTCTCGATCTTGGGTCGGAGGAGATTTTGATTAAATTGGAATTTGGATGCGAAAGATTTGAATTCCAGTGAAATTATCGGACCTTACTTTACCTCTTACCATATTACTAATTCTTGTATTGGATTAGAACACCTTGGAAGCGGTACCGGTACAGTACCATGGTACCGTAGGTACTAGTAGCGGTACGGTACGTACTGGTACAATATTTAAATATTGATTGTTGTGCCAAATTCAGGAAACAACCTTCTTTGCTGGCTTTTTAAAACGTACAGCCAACAGGTACCCGGTACCAGTATGTGGCGTTCGTATCTTTTGACCTTTCCCCCTTTGATGTCATCACCCGTAGTGTTGAGATAGTGTTGCCAATAGATACCAAGATGGCAAAGAAAAGGCGTAAGCCAAACAGCGCTAATCTCAAAGGCGGGCACCGAGGCAAGAAGAGCCGTGGAGAAGCTCGGCCTCCAATTCCGGTAACAGTTTTATCAGGTTTCCTTGGCTCTGGCAAGACAACGCTGCTACAGCACATTCTTACTTCACAAGAGCATGGGCTACGAATCGCCGTCGTTGTGAACGACATGGCTGAGCTGAACATTGATGGCAATATCATTAGGCGAACAAGCACCGCGGAAAGGCAAGATCCGGCAGATCCACAGATTGTCAAGACCAAGAAGGAGGTTGTCACTTTGGAGAATGGGTGCATTTGTTGCACTCTCCGTGGTGATTTGATTCGCGAGATCAACCGCATCCAAGAATCGAAGCTGTTCGATTACATCTTGATTGAGTCGACTGGAATCGCAGAACCACAGCAAGTGGCAGAATCCTTTTGTGTCGATCCCGAGACACAGGCGTTGGCAGGTAGTGATGCAAGTATGCTTTTGAACTCTGCTCGTTTGGATACTTGTGTTACTCTGGTCGATGCCGTGAACTTCCCCAACTACTTGTCTTCTCTGAAACGATTCCAACAACTATTCCAAGACGGCATAGACGATGCAGAAGAAGGTGAAAGCGAAAAGAGCATTTCCGAGCTAATGGTCGAGCAAGTTGAGTTCGCGAATGTGATTTTGATAAACAAGGTAGATCTAGTCGCTCCCAAAAAGCTGGAAATCGCCAAGACACTCATCCGAGCTCTAAACCCCAAAGCGCGGGTCATTACAGGGTGCTTCGGGAAGATTGACCCAACCGAGATTCTCAATACACATTTGTTCAACATGAAAGATGCTAGTGAATCTCCTGGATGGCTAGTTTCCTTGGAAGACGGCGTCACCGCATCACAAGGCGAAGCCGATGAATACGGTGTCAGCTCCTTTGTCTATCGCTGCAGAAAGCCATTTCATCCAAAAAGGATTCATGGCTTTCTGCAGCAGCTCTTTTGCTTTGTCGAGGATTGGAATTCCGATACCTTCTCCCAAGACACAGACGAGGGCGCTGCCTCTAAAAGTTTGGAAAAGAGATACGGGAGTATCTTGCGGTCGAAGGGAACCTGTTGGATTGCCGGTCGAGACGATCATGAAATTGGCTGGGCCCAGGCGGGACGGATTGTTCAGCTGAGTCCAATAGCCCCATGGCATTGCAAGACAGACCCCAGCGAATGGGAGGGTGCACAAGCGGATGAAGACCGCGCCCGGATTGAAAGAACCTTCGATGGCACTGATGAACAAGGCAACTCTTTCAAGCATGCTTTTGGAGATCGTCGTCAAGAAGTCGTCTTTATCGGAACCAACTTGCAGCGTGCAACTATTGAAGAATCTCTCAACGATTGTCTCTTGACAGATGAGGAGATGGCAAGTCATTCCATGGATGTTCCGAAGGGAGCCTACCAGGATCCGCTTCAACCAATCCTGGTTGCTTGTGACAGCGACCGAAGTCTCTTTTTGACTGCTCGTCCAGGGCAAAACCAACATATTCGAATCTTCCCTGGATTCTCGTTGACTTTGTACAATCTGGCCCTCAACATTGATACTGACACCAGTGCTCTCAAGGAAGATGAGATCAGAGCCGTCAAGGTATGGCTCGACAACTCAGACAGTGTGCAGCGCGGAGTGTTGCTGGCGACGCTGAGACCTGGCAAGACTGAGCAGCATGCAATGTCGCTCTCCTTGCTTCCTTGTGATGAAGAAGGGGGAGAAGAGGCGATGAATCGGCGGATCCGAATTGAGGTTGTGCTCAGCAAGGAAGCCAAGAAAAGGTCGGCATCCCTGGATCTTATGAACGAGTGTGAAGTGCACATTATGGGGAAAAGTGAGCCGGTGCCCTACTCCTCCGCCGACGGCGAAGACGACCAAGGCATGGAGGAAGAAGCTTGCGATCCAGGGGACTGTCCGGCATAGCGGCGCATGCCATACCGTAGGTTGACCTTACACTGTGTAGGATCGCAGTGACTATGGCGTCTAGGAAACAGTGGCATGGCGCGCTTTGTCAACATCAGCCACCAGATCGAATGGCACAGGAATTAGAGTCCAGGTAGGTGTTGGAGGCGGTGCCATCGTTCCATCCGCACCTTCCTTCTTCGGTCCCTGCTCAAGCTTTCTTGCGAGCTCCTTAACACCCAGACACGCACCATGGCTTTGCCGCAAAGAAGAAATAGAAAGCGAATAAAGTGAATACTGTAGACCGGGGCGAACAAAAACTGAGCACTCTGGGTTGAATAGAATCGAATCATTCCCAAAGAGGGCAAAGGTGACCTCAATGGTGTCACCATGTTTCAAATGGTTGCTCCAGTCGCATGCTGGGACGAAGGTCCAGCAAATGGCCGAGTTAGGAACCTACAGCACAAGCTACGGTAGCTGCTGGTATAGCTTCTGACGACATGCAGAGAGGGTGGAGCACAGAGCGCCGGGGCACGGAAAAGGTATTGATAAACACCTATCTAGAGTCGAGAGCTACTCCGGCAACCCTCCCACTCATGAGCAATTCACTAACAGCCGCTACAGTCTCGGGAATGTTTGCTGTGAAGGGAACAAAGGCGTTACCGTCCTCAGCCATGAGCTGCTTGAAGGGAATGGAAAGGTGACTGGCAACCTCTGTGATGATCGAGTCAGAGAGAGTTTGATTGATCGTTCAAGAGGTTTGAGAGAAGTGTATCAAGTAGAACAAAGAAAATCAAATCAAGATTGTCACATCTAGCCAACCAATGCTGCCAACTCTGCCAAAGCACCTACCTTGGTTGCAGTCCTGCACATGTGGCTCTTTGTCTGCAAGGTAAATCTTGGGATGAAGTTCAATGGCTCCAATGAGCTTGTGGGGGTCAGAGAATAGTAAATTGGCAAATCCAGCACCGTGAGGACCCACAACTATGGAGGCCTCATTGTGTAGAACAGCAGTATCACGAGTAGTGGCATTGTGGTAGAAGTCCTTCACCACACAGCAGTGAGAGAAGGATCTCCGCAAGGCTTCCCCAAGGTCTTGGGCATTGTATAAGGATCGTTGTTTTCCTGGTTCTCGATGGTGATAGAGAATGACAGGCTTTCTTGGCTCTTTCAATGATGCCTGCAGATGTCGTAGTTGCATTTGAGGGTGGTTCCCAATGTAGTCTTGAACAAGGCTTCTGGTTACACTAGATGGATTGCGGCTTGACTTAAGAGATCCAGTAGGCACAAGCAAACGTCTGGCAAACACGGCCTCAGATTTTGACTGTTCACGCCATCTTGGGAGGGTAGTGCTCTGGAAGAAGCTTGGATTCCAAAATGCTTCGGGTCGCCTGTCCAGTGCAATGGATCCTTGACGAGCCCAAATGTCAGTAATGTTCTTGTTCTTGGCAATGAAATCTCGGACATAGACCAATCGAGGTAGCTCTTCAATGTAGGCATGCCAATGAGCATGACCAAGACACTCATTCAGCAGAACATTGTATTGCTGTTCTGATGGCAGAATGACAATCCCCGCAGCTTGGCGATTGTTCTTGCGCTTCCTTTGTTTTCTGTCTTCGTTCCTGGCCGTTTTTTCAATGAGCTTATACATTGCCCCATCCCAATCCCGGTCCATAATCAAACAACAGGAACGTGTTTCAAAGGCAATGTTGCCATCAAATATAACAGGAGGCTCTCCCACAATAAAAGCATTGGAGAATACAGCCACACCTCCCCAATCCTTTTCCCAGGCTGGTAGATCCATGAAGTATTGGGGGAATTTGGCTTGTAAATCAAGTTCTCCTTTGATGTGATTCTCAATAGCTTCACGGGTAACATGCTTCAGGAAAGATTCCATTGTAGGCTCCAAGTGTGTAGTTTTGTTGCTTTCCATTGCAGCAAAGATCTTTTCTACTTGCTTCATGTCTGATGGAAACTGGCCTAGTCCGTGGAACTTAGCTTCATTCCCAGCTCCAATAGGCGGGATGGCAGCAGGAGGGAACTCTGGGAATCCAATCTTGGAGGCTACTAGTACATGAGCGGGTACTGGGATGTGAGTATGCGCTCCATTGCTGGTGCTGTCGTTGACGTCTGCATTAGTTGATTCCATGGAAGCAATTGCATGATCCACTGGGTTAGTTGTACAACCCTGGAGGTTTGCATCGGGAGGGCCAAAGACACAGTTGACCTTCAACAAAAGATTCAACATGAGCAATGCCAGGATCGCACACCACAAAGCAGAGTTTTTCCGTGGTGGCTTCATCTCTTTCCCTTTGAATCGAATCTCAATCGAATCGTTCTCGGAGGACTCCATGGAGTTGCCTTGGATCAGCGGTTGCCAAATCTTGTATTTTTCCAAGTAAGTGTGGTCCGCAAGCTGTGCTGCTTGTGGCTCGACGTCATTTTCCGCGGTCTAATAATTTTAAAATATCGATTAGTACTAAAAATCATTACTACTGAGTATTCATGCATACATACATACGTATACATGTACTATGGTACTAGTACTAGTAATTAATAATTATTGACTGAGGTATTTTAAGCAAGCCCGACAGCCCGATGGTCAGGCTGGAGACTGGAGACCGATGAGGCACAGCAGGCCCTAAGTACCGGTTCGTTTAGTTTGGAAAGAATAACAGCTGGTTTGTATTTGTAACCGCCCGTCTGTGTAGAACTCTGTACAGCCCAACATACCCGTGACTCTAGTTGTTATGTAGCTTATTGAACAACCAGAGAAACTTCCTAAGTTAATGAGTTAAAGAGGCGAGCAGACCGGATTTAGAATTCTCTCAATGTCCTCTATGTCCTGACAAAAAGCGATTGTTTTCTTTGTCTCTTGTTAAGCACCCAGTCACTGAAAACCGTCATTTTGGCCTCTTTTTCGCGTAAAACAGACCGCCTAAACGTTCTTATAAATACTGTAATGTAAAAGTACTCAAGTGTAGGTGAAGCACGTTTCAAGCTCATTTTCCTTGTCAGCTTGCCAGCTCACTCAACTTCAAGTTATTCTTCCTTCCACCAGATCATCAGCCAAGCGTGCAATGATTGAAGTCATCAGATAGATCAACTCAAGCAAAACGATGCTCTCTGGTGTAGCTGCTGCAACTCCCCACAAGGGCCGTAGCACGATGAAGGTTTCCATCATCGGGGCCGGTTTCAGCGGTCTCTCGGTGGCTTATCATCTCACCAAGTACAACCACGAAAACGCCGCATCTGGAAAGAGGTGTTTCGATATCAACATTCTTGAGGCCCGAGATCGCACTGGTGGACGAGTTTGCCCCGTGGATCTGAATCCTCGCAGCGGAGACCCTGTGATGGTCGATATGGGCGGACAATGGTTAGAAGAAGCTTCCAAAAAGAATCCCTTGGTTCAGCTTTTGAAGGAAATCAATGTCGATTTGCTCTACACCAAGCAGCACAAAATGAAAACCAAAGAAGGGCAGGAGCGCCAACCAAAACAACATCAACCAAACAACCCAGGTCCCAATCTTTTGGCCAACGGCATCTACTTGCCGGATGGAACCAGAATACCAGACCCCCTTTTCAAGAGGGCACGGAAATTCTACTATAAAACGTTGAACGAATACAAGGACAAGGACGTTTCCCAACAGACCTCCTTTCAAGACCTGCTCGACGCGGCTCTCAAATCCAGCAAAGATAAGGGTCCAAATGCACCAAGTTCCCCGCTTTTCCAGAAAATTATCCGATATCTAAGTCATAGAACGGAGTGCTATGAAGGCGGACGCATGTCCGAGCTTTCTGTCTCTCTTGATGAACTCTACCATCGATTGGGTGGCCCCGATGAGATTGCCGAAGGAGGATATCATGCCGTGCTGGAAAAACTTGTCGACTTTGTTGGACGAGACAACATTCATTTGAATTGTCCAGTTCAAGAAATCCACTATGAGCCATTATTATTTGATGAGTCCACCACCAGCGAAAACGACGACAATACACCACCACAAGTTCGAATCCAGTATTGCGCCGAGGAACAGACAAAGACCCTCTCGGCAGATTGTTGTGTATGCACCGTACCTCTCGGTGTGCTACAACAAGGTGGCCTCCGATTTGACCCGCCACTCGGTGACGACCGTGAAAGATCCATCCAAGCCATGGGCTTTGGAGTTCTGGACAAAGTCATGATGTTGTTTGAAAAACAGTTTTGGGAAGAAAACTTTTACGCGGGTGTGACGCCCGAGGATCCCACGAGGATACAAAGCTTTGTCGATTGCTCCGTGGACTATGGTGGGAAACCGGTCCTGGCCATGTTTGCCGCGGGCAATGTTGCTCGACGCTTTGATCGCCCACAAGAAGGTCTGTCCGATGAGCAACTATTGGCTGAAATCATGACCACCTTGCGAACCCTGTTTGGAGACGATGCACCCGATCCAGTGTCATTCCAAGTGTCTAGATGGTTGCAGGACCCGTATGCCTATGGCTCGTACTCCTTTGCCAAAGTTGGAAGCACCGAACATGACTACGATCAAGTTGCCAAGCCGGCTGGGAAGAACTTATTCTTTGCGGGAGAACACACCAACAAGCATCATCATTCGACGGTTCATGGTGCCTGGATGACGGGCAAGAGGGAAGCAGATCGGTTGATAGCCAACGCCAAAGCGTTGAAAACCGCTTAGGATAGCATAATATATGTAGAGGTTCATCCTGCATTTGCTATAGCTACTGGTAGGGTCGATGAGAATGCCCTCACAAAACTAAACGTGGATTGAAGAACAACGAATGAAAGCTTTCAGACAGCACCGAACCAGATCATTGAGGGATTTACCATCTCTGTGTTCTCGTCACTCGATTCAATTGAATCTCCAGATGTAGTCAAGGTTGGCAAAAGCACTAGTAGCGAGCTCATGCAATTCGATTCCTTGCGAACGGACAAACTAAATTTGTTGCTTGCTTTTGATGCCTTACGCGGCAGCTGTTTCTTGTGTAATTTCCCGTAGCTTTTCTTCCTGATCCTTGACGTTGCATGCCTCAATCATGGGCTCGATATCCCCTCCTAGAAACTGCGCCAAGGGAAAGTTCTGTCCTAATCTGTGATCCGAACATCGAGAGTCTTTCCAATTGTACGTTCGGATCTTTTCACTCCTTCCGCCCGTTCCTACCTGGGATCCGCGTCTTGCCCGTTCCTCCATATCTCGTTTTTCATTCTCCATATCATACAATTTGGACATGAGCATTTTCATGGCGAGATCTTTGTTTTTCAATTGCGATCGTTCCTGGGTGCATTTGATTCGAATTCCAGTCGGTTTGTGTAGCAAATCCACGGCAGTTTCGACTTTGTTGACGTTTTGTCCACCGGCTCCACCACTCCGCATCGTGGAAATGTCAAGATCTTTGGGATCAATTTTGACATCTACTTCATCACACTCTGGCATGACAGCTACCGTGGCGGTGGATGTGTGGACTCGGCCCTGCGATTCTGTGGCCGGTACCCTCTGCACACGATGAACTCCAGCTTCCCACTTCATTTTGGAGTATACCTTATCTCCTTTAATATCGATGACAATGTTCTTGAAACCACCATCATCACCGGGAGAAGAATCAATCACATTGGCTTGCCAGCCATTCGTAGTAGCGTATTTCTTATAAGCGTCGTACAAGTCACCTTTGATTCCAGGATACCGTATGACATGCATGATCAGCAAAGAAAATGAATAAAAAGAATAGGCAGAGTCACGTGGAAACTAAAGAGAGAGAAGGACATACCTGCAAAGATATTGGCTTCCGAGCCACCGGTGCCTGCTCGGATTTCCAACATGATATTCCTATCATCGTTAGGATCTTTGGGCAAGAGTAGAATTTTGATTCTTTCTTCCAACTCGTCCATTTTTGGTTCAATTTCTTTAATTTCTTCCCGGGCCATTTCTTTCAATTCGGCATCATCCTGTTGAAAGAGTTCCGTGGCTCCTTCCAGCTCTTCTCTGAACTGGCAGTATTCATCATATGCAAGGACGGTATCTTCGATACTTGCTCTCTCCGACATTACCTGCAAGAGGCAAAAAATAGCAGCATCGTTAGGCACAAATTAAATAGATCTGGACTGGACATCCTCCTCCTCCATGTCAGTCAGGCCACGGACCTTTCGCAGCAAATTAGAGCTTGCAATCACATCTGGATCTCCCAAACGTTCTGTCAGTGCTTGATAGGAACGCTTGATACCATTCAATCGATCATTCATCGCATTATCCAGTACCATGTAGAGCGCCGAGCATCGACTGGTCGGACATGTCGGGACCACAAAGGCAGCTGATGGGGAGCCCAGCAGGGCAAGGACAGCGAACGCTCTCAGAAATTGCATCTTGTTGACGTTTACCAAAAAATTGCAAGCTGTGGACTCGCTATGTTATGGATGGAAGGCGAAGAAGTGATGGGCAGAGGGTGGGAGGCAGATTGATGTTGATGGTGGGAGGTCAGGCAGAGGCTTGTTGTTCTTTGTTTTCTGACGTACTCACCCCTTCAAAATCCCCAATCTTTCTGTTGTCTAGCTAGCTAGTCAGTCTAGCTAGCTAGTCAGTCTAGCGTCAGTCTAGCCACAGTAGCTACAGTTGTTGCAATACACGGCTCTTAGCCTTATTCGCGACTCGATCCTAGATAGGGTTTGAGTTCGACTCAGATCATGACTGAGTCTTTCGTAATAGTCATTGAGACAGGGTTCTCATGACCGCTAGTCATACTAGGTCGATGGTGAAACATCGCGCTAGATATTTAGCTGGCGTGGAGAGATTCCACGCTACTAGATAAATGCTAGACGAATCTTCCACGCGTTCCGTTTTTGGATCGTGGAGTGAGTAGATTGCTACCCAACCTACTCTATCACACTCTACAGTCTCCCGCGGGAGTTCAGATCTACGATCCTTTGATTGTGGATCTCCTCGTTTTAGTTTTCATAGCTTTCTAATCCTCTCATAACTTTCATTCTCTCAAACTCAAAACACTCGAAAGATCTTTACACTAGCTTTTAGCGTAGTGCATTTTGTTAACAAACACAATAGCTTTCAGCTACCTCCACCTATTCCTCACCATGAAATTGCCAAAGACGCGTACACCAGCTTCGATCTAAGCTGCGCGACAAACCAATCCTTCCTCTCATCGACCGCGACGATGATGCGAAATCGACGATTCTCGCTCCACCACCTACAAACTTCGCACTTTTCCAGCAGATGCTGACAGCGCCAAGTACACCTTCAAGGTCCAAATCATCAATGGATCTGAGACTCACGTCAAACCATCAAGTGGCTGGACGTATGGAGAAAGTCTTCATCCGGCTCGCCATTGCTACGCCTGAAACAAACATAACCTCCTCAAGGAGAGACTTCTAGCTCTGCAAGAGCAGTTACGAATCTAGCTGTGAGGCCATCGTGAAATACGTTGGAATGCCTTGCGCCAGATTGCAGTCAACGCGATTCTCCACGCGACATACGTGTGGTGAAGACGAAGCCATTTTCCAAGCACGTTTCCAGGCGTCCTGGAACGGGGCAGCTCAGCCTGCTTTGGACGACACTGACAATACGTTGGCATAAATGCCTGTTCGAACGGTCTGTCCTACAAGGCTCTTGAAAAGCAGAAACGCTTCATGTGCCGCAAGATGCGTAAGCCTGCTGATTGACTACTCGGGCTTATGTCAACAACCTCAGTCGGATGAACGCCGATGAACTTCCTCGTCTACCACCTTTGGACCCAACCAAACGTTGACCATGACAAAGTCATTGACATGTTTGTCATGGAATTCCACGCTCGTGGATGAAGAAGATGGACGACAACGACTTCGATCCTTTCTCAGCTCCTATCGGAGAACCATTGGATTCTGCGACGCATGGAATCCTCCGAAGACTTTGACAAGGGCGGTGATGCCAAGCAAGCTACTTCGAAGAAGAACAACAGCAAGAAGTACAAGTCTACTCGCAACAACGACCACTCTTCCAAGAACGAAGAAAATGGTGCGACTACCACGAGTCCAGCACTCACAACACTGCTGACTGCATGACTCTGAAGAAGCTCAAGCCAATCTCAGTCCTCGTGACAACGATAACGATAACAAGCCAGCGTACAACAGAACAAGACTTGGAAGCGCAAGTCCGACGACGCAAAGTCCTACACAAGAAGGAACTCTCTGTCCTCATGAAGAAGTTTCCAACGCTGCGGTCAAGGCTGATCGCAGAAGAAAAGCGAATGCAACCATGTTGCCAAGCCAAGTCAGACAGACTCCGACAACGAGGACGACTCCTCTGTTGGATCCACAACATGATGGACAAGAAAATGGCTGCCGTTGACAAGGCGCTTGCCGAATTCGACTTCAATCATTCGGATGGAGAGATCCCGTCTGAGGATTAGGCCAGGATGATGATTCAACGGAACACTGTTCCGATTTCTCATACCTAAGTGATGAAGATATCTCACTAAATAGTAAACAAGATTTGTTTGCAACTAATGAAGTCTACGGCAATTTAGATAATTGCCTAGCAACTGCTCAACTAGACTCTGACGATCTATTCAATCGTTAACTTCGTCCATGGCCATCAACTCGTAACGTCGCAAGAAAGAGACCTCAAAACTATCGTCTATGTTAGATTTAACAGACGAGAGAAAGGGAAAACAAAACCCGTTAACCTCTGTGCTACTGGATACAGGAGCATCCGGAACTTTAATACTCAAACTCATGATAAGAGTTTACTCACGAAGAATCATGGGGCGTCCAAACATTACGGCTGCTTCTGTAAAGGAATGAAACCCCGCGAAGTGTAAGGGCAACTATGATTCCTGAGTTCACGATAATGGAATTATCGAATGGAATTTAAACGTCACCAAGAACTTGGGGCGCATGACATGATCATAGGTAAGACCTCTCTCCGACCTAAGAATCAAGTTTGATTTCACTACATGTCATGGAGTGGAACAGCATTTTTTTCCTGCGAAAGATGGCGATACGATAGAAAGGAGAACTTCTCCATTCCTGATCCTGGCTGTCAGCGACAGTGCAGATAGTCTCAAGAAGATTCTTGATGCAACATACGAACAAACTGACTTAAGGCAGATGTGCCAGAGTCGAAACAGTAAATAAGGAAGAGCAAGAATGCCTCATGCCTTTCAACCAAGTCTCCGGCCAGTCGAGGGTACTTTGGGAAATGCAAATGTACGACTACGAAGTAGAACTCGTCCCGACGCTAAATCCTATTATACTAGGCTCACCCTACTCCACGTGTCCATACCAACGCTCTTAAGATGGAGGTTAACTCTCGGACCCAATAGTTTGTTAACCTAAATAAGTAATTCAATATATATATGATCATAGGTCGAGACATTCTCTCGACTTAGGATTCAAGTCGATTTCACTACCATGTCAGTGGATGGGACGGCGATCTATTCCTATGAAAGACAGCGACACCAATGAAGAAGAGAACTTCTTCATTCCTGATCCTACTGCTGTTGATGACAGTGCAGATCGTCTCAAGAAGATTCTTGATGGAAATACGAACAAGCTGACTTTAAGGAAGGTTTGCCAAGTCAAGATAAGTTAAACAGGAAGAGAAGGAACAAGCTTCATTCTTACTGACGAAGTACTCTGACCTATTCGATGGTACTTTAGGAAAGTGGCAGATGGACGACTACGAATAGAACTTCTCCCTGATGCTAAACCTATCATGCCAGGGCTTATCCTATTCCACGGGTTCATACCAACACTCTCTTAAAATGGAGGTTGAACGTCTCTGCGAGGCAGGAGTACAAGAAGGTAAACCGTTCCGAGTGGCGGCACCAACTTTCATCATTCCCAAGAAAGATGGATCTGTACGATTCATCTCTGATTTCCGGAACTGAACAAAAGGATTAAGCGGAAGCCTTATCCTATCCCCAAAAATACAGGACATGCTCTTGAATCAGATGGATTCAAGTACGCTACTAGTCTAGACCTGAACATGGGATACTATCACATCGAGCTGTCACCTCACTCGAAGCAACTCTGTACCATCGTACTCCCGTGGGGAAAGCACGAGTACCAGAGGTTGCCAATGGGCCTATGCAATAGTCCCGACATCTTCCAAAGGAAGATGAAAACACACATGCATGACTTAGGAAATGTCCGTGCATACATTGATGATCAACTCATCCTAACTAACGACGATGTGGTAGATCACGTTGAATAGTTAGATGAATTTTTCCAAAGACTTCAAGAAGTCGGATTTAAAATCAACACTACCAAGGCCTTCCTCGAAAGGAAGAACTTGAGTATCTAGACCATTGGACTACTCGAGAAGGAATCCAACCCTTAACAAAAGGACAATAGATGCGATCCAGCTATCGCTCCTCCTACGAACAAGAAGGAACTTCGCGGATTCATTGGACCAATGAACTACCAAGGTCTGCTCCAAGACAGCAGACGAAGTAACCATCGTTCTAAGACAGACGTGGGTTACCCAACATCCATGACCGGCCGAGGTTGTCATGGACAGAGAACGTGAGTCCCGCGCAGAGGTCGAGAAGACTCTCCGGGATGAACATGGACTTCGTCGCAAGTTCACGCGCGTCAATCGTGACAAGATTCACAACACCCGTTTCGAAGCAAACTGGAAATACATCAAGGAACGTCGCCAACGACTTATCCAGAAAAACAGCGATAGGGACAACGCGACACGTGTCCCTCATCAACACAATGTCAACGATACCGTGATGATTCATCAGTATCAGCACCGCAAGTACGGTCAGCCAAAGTACAAAGGTCCTTACACTATAGACCGAGTCAATGACAATGGCACTGTACGGCTCCAACATGCTACCGCCAATGGCGGCACAGTCTACCATACTTGGAACATAAGGTATATACACCCATACAAGGCCTGATCCCCTTGTAGGATTGCCATCGTGCGATGCACATGTCTACATCCAAATCTCATGAGAGTGCCCCGCACTTTAAATCATATGTTCTCCTTGTCCGACTGCTGTCGCGCCTTCTGTGACCCTTGTCAGGGGGCGAATGCAGCCAATACACGGCTCTTAGCCTTATTCGCGACTCGATCCTAGATAGGGTTTGAGTTCGACTCATGACTGAGTCTCTCGTGAATAGTCATTGAGACAGGGTTCTCATGACCGCTAGTCATACTAGGTCGATGGTGAAACATCGCGCTAGATATTTAGCTGGCGTGGAGAGATTCCACGCTACTAGATAAATGCTAGACGAATCTTCCACGCGTTCCGTTTTTGGATCGTGGAGTGAGTAGGATTGCTACCGCAACCTACTCTATCACACTCTACAGTCTCCCGCGGGAGTTCAGATCTACGATCCTTTGATTGTGGATCTCTCTCGTT